CTTAGAAGCCTTTTCCAGTCAAATTTCCACATCGCTACACAAAATTTACAATTTAAAAATCATCAGTTTATCCTTTTTCCCAGAAAACATTTGTGTATGTTTTTTAAGAGAAATTATATAGAGCTGTGAAGCAGCCAAAGACGACCTAGCGCGCCCCTCGCCCCGTCCACACTGAACTCTGAGGTTGGCGCCTGCCCCTCGAAGAGGATTGCAAGGTGGGGTGAGGATGTTTTGATGAACGGTGAAAAGCTTGGATCAAGCCTCATTAACCCTAATTTCTCAACCATTACAGGTTGGAAAAAAAAATATTAGGATGCCCCCAGACTTGAAAAATCAACGGCTCGATGTCTTCAACTTTTATCATGCTAGCAGCCACCAAAATTGGTGTGGCAAAGCAATGAGAAAGGGAAAAGAACATAAACCCATCCAGAACAGCTGTATGACGAGATCAGCCAAAATTGCATAACTAAAAGAACAAAATATGCATGATTAAGAAGGCAGTAGCTTGCAGAGGCAATATATAGCCCAGTAACTCTTAGATTTTTCAAACTTCAACCATCTAGTATCTTAGATTTTTTTGGCTACAACCATCCAAGATTAAGTAAGTTTATTCAGGTATACACAAATACAGTTACATAAATTATCATACATAGCAACATATGTGTAAAGTACCTAGGATAACCCAAAAAAGTCAGAGTGACTTATTTCCATTGGGGACCTTTTACCTTATTATTATAATATAAAGGTGATAATATCTTATTATTATTCTATAAAGGAGATAATATCTTATTATCATACTATTAAGACTATCTATCTATTTATCTAGTAATTAAGACTACAATACGAGGGTCATTACTAGGAATAAGGTAAAATTACACGTGTGTTAGCTAAGGAAAATAAAAAAATCATTCCCCTCCCTTTCTGTAGCTACATTCATCAGACACCTTTTGGCTCTCTTCTTGAACTAGTTCATGCTATGACTGGCTTTGACATGTGCTGGCAGGCTGTTCTAACTACAGTCTTTTCTAACTACAGCCATGGTTGTTTCAGAGAACGCACTAACACTATTGCAGCAGCAGCCAGGAAAATGACAGTCGATTATTAGAACTCTCATAACAAGAGAAGGCATGCCATTGGTGATGCTTATCAAAACATTTGTATTCAGCCAAATTGTCATGGATATGTAGGAATGTGGTCTGCCGCCATCAGCAGCTTTGTTGAGCAGGCAGTCAAGGAAATCTGGCCTCTGGCTGAGTTGCGATACAGGTTACAGGTATGGCCTAATGAACATAAAATCAAGCATAAGAATTGTTGCCGTTGGCTATAATTGACTGTTGATCCTCAGCAGAACAAGTGTCACAAAGACTGCCAACTCCTCACTTTACCATCCTCATACCCATTCTCCTCTCCATGGAGGGCAAATGCTGTTAGCCTAGTTGTAGTCAGGTACAGTCCCTCCTTAATGAAAGGATAGTGTAACTTGCAACACGTTACAACACGTCCTGCAGACGTCTTCAGCACGTTTTGTATGTTTTACAAGTATTTTACATCCGTCTTCCATGCGTTTTACGTCTGCAGAGGTATTGGGTCTTATATAAGTCTTAACATAGATGAAGAACGAACAGCGTGTGAAAGATGACAAGTTACTCTGGAACACATTCGCTCAGCCTGAGTGTCCATTCCCCACCCGTAGAGAAACAATGACCCTCTCACTACAAGCACTGTGCTACACCTCGTCCAGACATAAACATTTAAATTTACATTGTGCGAATTGAATCAGTCGGTATTATTCGTCTTATTGTAGATGGGAGCTCTTCACTAAGATTTAGAATATATCATATAGAATCAGAATTAATAGTTGGAATTATCTCGATTGTTAGTGTGGTATGTAAAGGACCCCAATGGAAATAAGTCACTGATTTTTTTGGGTTATCCTAAGTTCTCTACACATAATGCTGCTAAAGATGATAAATTGCTGGAGTAGTACCCATGTATTAAGATGGAGCTTGGGCAGGAAATGTGGGCGGTGCCATTGTTTAAGAGGGCATGACAGTAAGTAGAGTGCCAGACTGGGTCTGTCATGCCCTGAGGCACACCAGAAGCTAGGGCAGAGTGAAGGTTTGTTAAGATGCAGGTGTAGCCATCGCCGTGAACACCACCACCACCGGTTCCACCATCACAGCACTATAACATAACGACTACAACACCACTGCCATTACCACAGCGCCACTGCCATTACCACAGCGCCACTGCCATTACCACAGCACCACTACCATTACTACAGCACCACTACCATTACTACAGCACCACTACCATTAACATACTACAGCACCACTACCATTACTACAGCACACCACTACCATTACTACAGCACCACTACCATTGCTGCAGCACCACTACCATTACTACAGCACCACTACAGTTAATACCGTACCACTAAGTACCATTACTACAGCACCACTACCATTACCACAGCACCACTACCATTACTACAGCACCACTACCATTACTACAGCACCACTACCATTACTACAGCACCACTACCATTACTACAGCACCACTACCATTACTACAGCCCACTACCATTGCTGCAGCACCACTACCATACTACTACAGCACCACTACAGTTAATACCGTACCAAATATAGTACCATTACTACAGCACCACTACCATTAACCACAGCACCACTACCATTACCATAACACCACTACCATTACTACAGCACCACTACCATTACTACAGCACCACTACCATTACTACAGCACCACTACCATTGCTGCAGCACCACTACCATTACTACAGCACCACTACAGTTAATACCGTACCACTAAGTACCATTACTACAGCACCACTACCATTACCACAGCACCACTACCATTACCATAGCACCACTACCATTACTACAGCACCACTACCATTACTACAGCACCACTACCATTACTACAGAATGAAGACAGCCTATGCTGCCTGTTAGATTCATATCCCGCGGCACTGCGGTGCTGCCCTCTCTAGGCCTGCCCAAGTGAGGCACGGAGTCTACCCGCCCTTATTTCACGGCCTACCCACGCAGGTTCAACAACCTCTTCCTCTACGGTAGTGGTTCCCAAACTTTTTCAGCTTGTTACCCAATTTAACATGCCACATAAAGCATGTTACCCCTTTCACAAAATGTTGTTATTATTGATATATATGGCTAAACGTGAACGTATACAGCCTCGCATACTCTGCTAATCCTAGCAAAACCATTGAAAACGTAAGAACCACACATACATTATATATAAAATTAATAATAGCTACAAATTCACAGTAACAGTGGGTAAATACTAACTATATACTGCACAGGGCAGTACACATACATACCAGCTTATGTCTACCTCGGCTGATGCTCACAGATAAACTGACAGTGTGAAATAGAGGCAGCCTCAGGAAATGAGTGATGCGTACGGGACAGGTCGATCTGGGCTACTGAGTGACTTTTGTCCTGAAGCATATTTGTCAAAATACTTTTGGGTTTCCACACACTTAGCTATATATTTCTTCTTTTCTACTACTGTATATTAGTTTTTGATGTTTATTGTTATTTGGTTTAACTTTATTACTTACTTATAATAGGTTTACTTTACAACTTTATATACTACGACAAAGTTAATATAATCCTCATACCGGGTACTCGCATTGTTTTCTTGATTTTCAGAATTCATAACTTTTTTTCTGTCACCCCTCCATTACCCCCAAAAAATGGTTAAATTACCCCCAGGGGGTAATTTACCCCCAGTTTGGGAACCACTGCTCTACGGACTGGCTATCGGTCATTCCCTCACTCTGCCCGTTGTGTACTCGCTTCTCTTCAAGTGAAGTCAAACTAGTCTACGGCCGTATCTTTGCAACCTACGCTACCCCTCGGCCCTAAACCGCTGTTCAACCCCAAGAACAGTTTGTTAGTTTAATATGTTTATTATGCACCCCAAACCCATCCTGTGGGCAGTAGTCAAAAGATTACAGAGGTACATAATGGGTCCAGGGACTGGACCCCAAAGTTTTGATAGCTGAGCAAGTTACAGAGGTAATGAACTCACAATTACAAAGGTAATGAAGTCACAATTTACAAAGGTAATGAACTCCAGGTAGGTCTGGTCACAGTCATGACAAGTTACAAAGGTATTTACAGATTACAGAGGTACGTAATGGGTCCAGGAACTGGGTCCCCAAAGTTTTGATAGCTGAACTAGGTACAAAGGTAATGAACTCACAAGTTACAAAGGTAATGAATCCTGTAAGAATGGTTACTTACGTTTATACATGGCTACAATCATGAACAAATTATAGATTAATGAGCAATTCACACTTCCACACCCGGTCACAACTGTAATGAGTTATTGGTGGAAATATTGATTGTTGAGTCACACACACGCACACACACACACACACACACACACACACACACACACACACACACACACACACACACACACACACACACACACACACACACACACACACAAACTCATACACACACAAACACACACACACACTGGAGGACAGGAGGGTCAGGGGAGACATGATAACGACATACAAAATACTGCGTGGAATAGACAAGGTGGACAGAGACAGGATGTTCCAGAGATGGGACATAGAAACAAGGGGTCACAATTGGAAGCTGAAGACTCAGATGAGTCAAAGGGATGTTAGGAAGTATTTCTTCAGTCATAGAGTAGTTAGGAAGTGGAATAGTATGGCAAGCGATGTAGTGGAGGCAGGAACTATACATAGTTTTAAGACGAGGTATGATAAAGCTCATGGAGCAGGGGGAGAGAGGACCTAGTAGCGGTCGGTGAAGAGGCGGGGCCAGGAGCTGAATGTCGACCCCTGCAGCCACAATTAGGTGAGTACACACACACACACACACACACATTGTAGGAACACTGCAGACTGGGAGTCCAAAGGTGATGATAGCAGTGATGTATAACCCACCACTTAACAGCAGGAGAACAAGAGAAGAGTATGATGTGCGCAATAGGGCAATGGTGGATACACTAGCTGAAGTGGCCAGGAGGGCTCATATGGGTAGGACAAAATTGCTTATAATGGGGGATTTCAATCATAAAGAGATTGACTAGGAAAACCTAGAGCCACATGGGGGACCAGAAACATGGAGGGC